CCCAGACTGGAGTGTAATGGCGTGGTCTTGGCTCACTGCAACCTCTGCCTCCCAGGTGCAAGCGATTCTCCTGCCTCAGCCTTCCCAGTAGCTGGAATTACAGGCACCCATCACCACATCTGGCTAATTTTTGTATTTTTAGTAGAGATGGGGTTTTACCATGTTGGCCAGGTTGGTCTCGAACTACTGACCTAGGTGATCCACCCATCTCGGCCTTCCAAAGTGCTGGGATTACAGGTGTGAGCCACTATGCCTGGCCAACTCATTTTAGTTTTAATTTTTTTTTTTTTTTAAAGAGACAGGGGTCTCACTCTGTTGCCCAGGCTAGAGTGCAGTGGTGCGATCATGGCTCACTGCAGCTTCAACCTCCTGGGCTCCAGTATTTCTCCCACCTCAGCATCCTGAGTAGGTGGGACTACAGGTGCATGCCACCACACCAAGCTAATTTTTTTTTCTGTTATTTTTTGTAGAGGCAAAATTGCACCATGTTGCTCAGGCTGGTCTCAAACTCTGGGCGGCTCGAACTCTGCTTTGGCATCCCAAAGTGCTGGGATTACAGGCCTGAGTCACCTTGCATTGCAAGTTTTATTTTGTCTTGCTTTTGCTGCTTTTAGGATTAGTAGACATCTACTGGTATACAAAGAGGCCAGTTCAAAACATTGTGACTGAAGTCACAGTTGCCTTATATCATCAAGAGTGTGCAGATATAGTGACCTTAATAGTTTTATAATTTTGTCTTTTTGTTATAAATAGAAGAGACGACATATTTGCTTTGTAAATTTTAATTAATATACTTTCAATCTTGGGTATCCAAATGTCATTTGGTTGTGACGAATGTGCAGAAAGATTCTCATGAGGCCTCCTTGTGTTTCTTTTTCCAGGTGTACATCATAGCACATGTTCCAGTGGGGTATCTGCCGTATTCACAGAACATCACAGCAATCAGAGAATACTATAATGAGAAATTGATAGATATTTTTCGAAAATACAGTGACGTCATTGCAGGACAATTTTATGGACACACTCACCGAGACAGCATTATGGTTCTTTCAGATAAAAAAGGTAATGTAATGCTGTGTTTGCATCTCCCCAGTCTAAGAGTCTAGAGCAAAGCGGTGAATATCTAGTCAATTTGCTGATTGAGTAAATTAAACATTTTATTTAAAAATCTGCCAGCACTAGCCTTTTCTGAATTATCCTCAATGGTTGTATGATGAGTGTCCAAATCATAACATTAGGCCTGCAGCTGGATTTCTTCAACATAAGCTCCTGTTAGCTCCACGGGGCCAGCGTTATTTATTTGCTGTCAACACAAAAGCCACAGAAACCCTCAGCTCACTCAAATTTTCTTTTGAATCTTCGAGTTTAAAGAAATATCACTCTATTTTAACTGCTACACTCAAGTTTCTTTTGATGTTACTTGTTTTATTTCTCAGAATTTAGAAAGCAAAGCACAATTTACACAACAGCTTAAAATAAAATATATTAAGCTCTTACTTGCAAGTTCTTATTGATACATATATAAGCAGAGAGAAGGATACAAACAAACCCCCATGTACTCATCACTCAAATTCAACATCTATCAAGATTTTTCACTTTTCTTTTTTGAGATAGAGTCTCGCTCTGTTGCCAGGCTGCAATGCCCCCTGTGATCTCGGCTCATTGCAACCTCCGCCTCCCTGGTTCAAGCGATTATCCTGCCTCAGCCTCCTGAGTAGCTGGGACTACATGTGTGTCACCATGCCCAGCTAATTTCATCATGTTGGCCAGAAAGGTCTTGATCTCTTGACCTAGTGATCTGCCTGCCTCGGCCTCCCAAAGTGCTGGGATTACAGGTCTGAGCTACCGCACCTGGCCTTATATTCTTTTAATTTTCTTGCTGGAGTATTTGAAAGTGAATCTCAAACACCGGATCTATTTCAGCACTACATATTCTATATTCATTGCTAAAATATACGGATAATTTACATAACCACAAACTTACTTAACAAAATCAACAATAATTATCTGGTATCAGTAACAAAAATACCCCTATTTTCTCAAAATTGTCTCTTTATGGTTGTTTCAAGTCAGTATCCATCAATGATCACATATCACTTGGCTTTATCTGTTGATCTCTTAATCTGGAACCTGTTTATATTTTTAATATAATTAAACTCTATTATTTAAAAATGTTTGTTTATGTGCATATGTTTTGTTCAGGAAGTCCAGTAAATTCTTTGTTTGTGGCTCCTGCTGTTACACCAGTGAAGAGTGTTTTAGAAAAACAGACCAACAATCCTGGTATCAGACTATTTCAGTATGATCCTCGTGATTATAAATTATTGGTAAGTTGGCAGATTTCAGAGTTGACCCCATATTTATGCATATCTTTGTAGTTTTCATTAGTGTAGTTGAATTTTTCTCAGGACAGTCATGTGAGATGTATTTTATGTTGAAATCTCCTTGCATCCTTCTTCTTTTTTATACTTGCAATGTTACCAGGACTTACTAAGTGTGAGCTGATGAAGTTAGTCTTTGGAAGGCTGTTTCTATTCTTCTAAGGACTTCACATTTATTTAGATGCTTTCATTGGTTAGTGCCAGGTTTGTGGACTTGTATACATACTGTTTCACTAAACCATGTTCATTCTTCTTCTCCGGAATATAAGTATGAAGAAGAGTGTAGGCTCCGTTACCATTCCCTCTCATGAACCATTATTTTTAAACCTCTCTGTGTCCCAGTGTATTTCTCCATGAAATGGGAATTAAAATATTATTTAATTCACTAAGTTGCTATGAGGATTGTATGAACAAATCTATGTAAAGCACTTAGAAAAATGCTTGGCTCATACTAAATGCTTAATAAATGTTAAACAAGATTCTATTTTCTTGTTCTTGTTTTGTAACCCAGGTTTGGCTCATACTAAATGCTTAATAAATGTTAACAAACAAGATTTTATTTTCAAGTTCGTGTTCTGTTACCCAGGCTGAAGTGTAGTAGTGTGATCATAGCTTACAGCAGCCTCAAACTCCTGGGCTAAAGTGATCCTGCCACCTCAGCTTCCCACGTAGGCAGGACTACAGTCATGCACCACCATGCCCAGCTAATTTTTATATTCCTATTGTAGAGATGGAGCGGGGGGAGTCTCCCTGTGTTGTCCAGGCTGGTCTCGAACTCTTGGGCTCAAGTGATCTTCCCACACTGGCCTTCCAAATTGCTGGTATTACAGATGTGAGCCACTGGGCCCACCCAAAAAATTCTTTTAAAGGAAAAAAAATTGAATTGGATATTGAGGACAAAAGCTCTTTGGAGCAGCTTCATGGCTCCCTGCTTTAGAACAATTTAGCACAAAAGACTGGCCATTTAGCTTATGGGTACTTCAATTTGGGTAACTTCCCCTTTCTAGAAACATAATTTCAAAATAATTCACTTCAGTTAAAGCCATTATTGGTATAACTGCTTTTTTTTTTTTTCTAGATGAATTTAAATAGGTGATGGTTCTGTTATTCCTTGGAATAACAGAGGGAGGAGGTACAGTGGCAGAAATCTGGTCTGGGGAAATGAAACAATTGTGTGATAAATTAGTCCAAAAGAATTTTTTTCTATAACTTTCAGTTGCCTAATTTTGGATCTGAACCTCAGATATATACATCCACACACACGTATATATCCATCTATATATATGTTTATATATCTAATACACAGCATCTGAGGTTCAGACCCCGCTGTATAATAAATAACTTAGAAATTATTTAGTGCTATATCAGGAGAATCTTCCCACATGTGTACATATGTACCGATGTGGGAATATTCTCCTGATATAGCACTAAATAATTTCTAAAAATATAAAAATAATTTCTTGTATAATTTCTAAATAATTTCTTAAAATACAACTATGTATATAGTAAGACTCCATTTTTTTGAAAAAGCCAAAAATGTAAGTATGCACATTCCAAATATTTATCTTTGTTTAGATATAAAGCCTAGATTACCACACATATACTGGAGTACTGACAATTGTTTAACAACTGGTTCACTGAGGGGAAAAGTGCCTTAATTTGTAGTGTTTGCCAATATTCATGACAGAAATACTCACATCATGGACAATTTCAAGCTACCAAAGTAGCCACAGATTTCCTTTCCTTTTTCCTTTTCTTTTTCCTTTCCTTTTTCCCTTCCCTTCCCTTCCCTTCCCTTCCCTCCCCTCCCCTCCCCTCCCCTTCCCTTCCCTTCCCTTCTTCGAAGTCTTGCTGTCACCCAGGCTGGAGTGCAGTGGCGCAATCTCATAATCTCGGTTTACCGCCACCTCTGCCTCCCGGATTCCAGCAATTCTTCTGCCCCAGCCTCCTGAGTAGCTGGGATTACAGGCACCCACCACCATGCCCGGCTAATTTGTGTGTGTGTGTGTGTGTGTGTGTGTGTGTGTGTGTGTGTGTGTATTTTTAGTAGAGATGGGGTTTCACCATGTTGGTCAAGCTGGTCTCAAACTCCTGACCTCAGGTAACCCACCCGCCACAGCCCCTCAAAGTGCTGGGATTATAGGCATGAGCCACAGCGCCCAGCCTGAAATGTCACAGAAATTTAAACATGAACACTTCTTGTTGTACAATGCCTTATGTGCCAAAAAGTGAACCAGGTTTCGTTACTGTTCTTAACTGCAGGATATGTTGCAGTATTACTTGAATCTGACAGAGGCGAATCTAAAGGGAGAGTCCATCTGGAAGCTGGAGTATATCCTGACCCAGACCTATGACATTGAAGATTTGCAGCCGGAAAGTTTATACGGATTAGCTAAACAATTTGCAATCATAGACAGTAAGCAGTTTATAAAATACTACAATTACTTCTTTGTGAGTTATGACAGCAGCGTAATATGTGATAAGACATGTAAGGCCTTTCAGATTTGTGCAATTATGAATCTTGATAATATTTCCTATGTAGATTGCCTCAAACAGCTTTATATAAAGCACAGTTACTAGTATTTCACAGTTTTTGTTAATAGAAAATGCTGCTCTGATTCTGAGATCAATTTGTGGGAATTTTACATAAATCTTTGTTAATTACTGAGTGGGCAAGTAGACTTCCTGTCTTTGCTTTTTTCTTTCTTTCTTTCTTTGATTTTTCTTTTTTTGATACCTAAATGTAGATATCTTTATCATTCTGAATTGTATTATATATTAAAACTGCTCATTAATAGAAAAATGGATGTAAATTGGATGTAAATATTCAGTTTATATAATTATACCTAATTTATACCCTGTTGAAATTGTCATTTATACAATAAAGCAAATTCTTTATCTCTAAATACGATGAAGTTTTCTTAACATGATAATTTTAGTTAAAATCTATGTGTTAACTGAGGTCCAAGTTGTTTACCTCTCATATGTATACAGAGATTACCACGGTTTACATGCAGTATCTACTCTTGGGAAAATACCATGATCATTAGGACCATGCTCAAACATCACAGGGCATGTATTGCCTAGCTTTCTTCATTCTGTGAGTCTTTGGCATTGCTAACTTTTAAGGATGAGAATGTCACACATACTTATTGCAACTGTAGTACTAACATAAGGCCTGGTCCTAGTCTAGTGCCTGGTACCTAGTAAATAATTGTTGAAATGAATTGAAAGCTATGAGTTTTTTTCAAAGAAACATCCTAGATTGCAGTGATGGCATTTTCTTTGTCACAGTATTCCAAGACAGGACAAAAATGAGCCTTTTATTTAATGGGATTGTTTTTAGGACTCTCCAATGGCTCAAGCTGTTTTCTGCTTTCAGGTTAAGTAGGAGAATTAAAGTAGAAATGGAGGGGAGAGTGGGAGGGACTGGGGGATTTAAAGGAAGAGAAGATTGTATATCCCAATTTTTTGGCATACTGGAGAAGACTGTTAAAGAAAAAAAAAAAAACTCATCATGACACTTGTTAAAGATGTTAAGGCAGACGTTATCCAAGGTAGACCCCAGTGAGAGGTATAGGGACCACTGCAATGGAATCTCACAGTGAGGCAGAGACAGTGGACTCAGTTCTGACTTCAACAAGGCTGAGTGGGGATTTATAACCAAGGAGCAGGGCGGGGATTAGTGAATGGAAAATTACCAGGACGAAAAAACATCAAAGGTAAGAGGTTTCTGGCTATACCAACTTCATAGGATTATTGCTGAAGGCAGGCCAGCGTGATAGGGTATCAAGGGTGGTCAGATACCAAGGGTGGGGCATTCTCCCTAAGCCAACTTAACAGGATTCTTGCTCAAACTGGATCCTACAAGAACAAAGAAGGAAGCCCAGTGTTGGCCTAATCAAGCAGAGGAATTGGAGGAGCCTGACTAAAGTTTTGGTCAAAAGAGAGAGTCTTTGTCAAGATATAAAATGAACAACCTTAGATTGAGGAGAATGGAACTCATCATCCTTATGACTGGCTTGACTTCATATATTAAAATGTCTTTTAGATGTAACATTGCATAATAATGAAACCAAATTATCCTGATTTCCAGAGAGCTAATAAAATAAGTATTATAAAACAAAGATATCATATCTAAGAAACAATCATGATTCGTTAGGTAAACTTTCTTTTAAAATTTTTACTTTTTAGGTTTCAACACATAAATTAGTATGTTTTAAAAGTGAGAATGCTGAAGCAAAGCAAAAATGCGTTATAAAATAGTCACATCATTTAGAAAACTTCATGCCTGCAATTATATTTAAAGTTGGTATATTCAAATGACTAGATTGTGTATTCATACTTTTTTTAATTTTTAATTTTTATGAGTACTTAGTAGGTGTATATATCTATGGGGTACATGAGATATTTTGATACAGGCATGCAATGCGTAATAATCACGTCATGGAAAATGGGGTATCTATACCCTCAAGCATTTATCCTTTGTGTTACAAACAATCCAATTATACTATTTTAGTTATTTAGAAATATACAATATTCACATATTCTCATACTTATGGACAGAGGTTCTAAGAAAACAAGTTTGCAATATGTAGGAAAATTTAGAAACAGTGAAAAGCAAATATGGTTTTAGCTGACTTGGAAAATGAGCCCCAGCACCGGAAATGTTTGCAGGGTTATTGTGGAGAAAATTTCTGCATCTGTTGGGAGTTTGGTGCAGTGAATATTCAGGGTCTATCCTACTTTATTCTAGAGTTTTTACATTTTTAATTACACATTTTTGTATTCAGTTTACTTTCTTCTTGAAATAGAAATAAATGATTTTAAAATCTGAGTGACATTTAGGGACATTATCAACAGTTAAACTGATCTTTCCATTGTAAAACCAGAGCATGTTACAATTATTTATTGTGGTTTATTTCAGATTATGTTCAGATAAATTATGAATTTTATTATGTCCACAGTAAAACTTATCTTAATTTGCCTCTGTTTATTGGTGGTGCTTTGGCAAATTCATAAACTGTATCATAAAGTGCTTTGGCAAATTCATAAACATAAAGACACTGCTACTTTGAAAATGGTTTTGAATGAACATTAACCATATATTGGTAGGAAAAAAGGGGACTGGGAGTGATGCCTCACACCCAGCGCAGTGGCTCACACTTGTAATCCCAGCACTTTGGGAGGCCAAGGCGGGTGGATCACCTGAGGTCAGGAGTTTGAGACTAGCCTCGCCTACATGGTGAAATCCCGTCTCTACTAAAAATACAAGAATTAACTGGGCATGGTGGCGGGTGCCTGTAATTCCAGCTACTCAGGAGGCTGAAGCAGGAGAATCGCTTGAACCCAGAAGGCGGAGGCTGCAGTGAGCCGAGATTGCGCCACTCCACTCCAGCCTGGGCAACAAGAGAGAGACTCCCTCTCAAAAAAGAGAAAAAAGAAATTGTTACAGATAAACATGACTTACTTCTAGAAGTGTATTATCTGCCCCATCCCTTCTGATACTGCCTAAACCACGCTAGACAAATGTTGAGGAGATAAAGGAAAGGACAGATAAGATGCTTTGTGTTTTTAAAATTTGTTTTAATTTTAATTATTATGGATACCTAATAGTTATAGAGTGCATGTGATATTGTAATACAAGCAGACAATGTGTAATGATCAAATCAGGGTAATTGGGATACCCATCACCCTAAGCAGGTATTATTTCTTTGTGTTAGGAAATTCCAATTCTACTCTTTTAGTTATTTGGAAATACACAATAAACTCTTATCAACTATAGTTGTCCTATTTTGCTACCAAACACTAAATCTCATTTCTTCTATCCAACTGTATTTTTGTACCCATTAACTATCCCCTCTTCATTCTGTCCCACCCCGCCGACTACAATTCCCAGCCTCTGGTAACCATCATTCTGCTCTCCATCTCTATGAATTCAGATTTGTTTACTTCCCACATATGAGTGGGAACATGCTGTATTTGTCTTCCTCTGCCTGACTTATTTCACTTCACATAATGTCCTCCACATTCTTCTATGTTGTTGCAAATCACAAGATTTCATATTTTTATGGCTGAATAATATTCCATTGTTTATATGTATCACATTTTCCTTATCCATTCATCCTTGAGAAACAGTGTGATTTCCTACGTTGGCTACCATGAATAGTGCTGTAATAAACATGGGAGTACAGATATCTCTTTGATGCATCAATTTTCTTTCCTTTGGATATATACCTAGCAGTGGGATTGCTGGATCATATGGTAGTTCTATTTGTAGGATTTTTTTTTGTTATTTTTTAGAAACCTCCATACTGTTCTCCATAGTGGCTGTACTAATTTACATTCCCATCAACAGTGTACAAGGGTTTTATATATATGAATAAAAACCTCTGTCTATATGTGTGTGTATATATGTGTATATACATATGCAAAGGACCTGAAATTATATATAAAATATGCATTATATATTTATTATAAATTTAAATAGAATATACATGTTAACTATTATATATTTATTGTACAGTTATATTGAATATGCATAGTAAATATATAATCATATATTTATTATATAGAGAGGGCCTCTGTAGATTTTTATATATTATATTTATATATAAATATTTATATATTTATATATTACATAGAGGCTCTCTCTATATACATACATGTACATATAGAGAGACGTTTTATATATGTAAAATATATATAGTGAGAGGTTTTATATATAAACATATATTTAATAGCTATAACTCCCCTCTTTCTCTCTATATGTGTGTGTATATATATATAAAACCTCTCTTTCTCTCTACACATGTATAATATATATTATATATTGATATATTTCTGTATTACAAAGATATACATATTTATATATTTTTCTATAGATAAAATATATATTATATTTATATATGGGTAGTTCTATATATATAAAATACAATATATAGAGAGAGGGTTTTATATATAACATAATATGTATTATATTAATAATATATAACTATATGTTATTAAATTTTATGTATATATAGAAAGAGATGGTGTTCTCTTGAACTCCTGGACTCCAGTGATCCTCCCACCTCAGCCTGCTGAGTAGCTGGGACTACAGGTGCATGCCACTACACCTTGCTAGAAATAGCTTTAATTAAATTATTGATGAGCGCTCTAATTTTTTTGGTGGAGAATGGGTTCCCTTCTCATTTAGAATCCCCTACTTGGATTAGTTCTCCTTGGAGCAATTATATGGATTAGCATAATGTGGGTAATCACTCCATGGAACACTGGACAAAATAGTGAAAAGATAAGGATCATGTCTATTCTATGACTTCAATTTTCGAAGACATACCTAAAGTTCCTATTGTACAAAATTATCCTTATTAAACATCAGCATGATTCAGCATCCTTACTCATTAATAGAATGAATTTCTTTCTATAATATGTATTTGTTCTTTAATTTAAAAAATTTAAAGCAATATAAACTTTTTATCTTTTATTATAAAACTCCAGATCCTTTGCATTCTGTTCTATACATAATGCATTTCCGTTGGAAAGTTTGGTGTCCTCAAACTTTTAAGAATTAATGATTTAGGAAGATGGCTGAGAATATCCCCTGACCATTGCCTTGTAGGCCTGGAGGACTCCGTTTCATACAAGACCAGGGATTGATATGGCTCTATTGGTTTCTGTAGCTTTTTTTTTCATTCTCAGTGCAGACTCCTACATCTCCCATCACCAGCCTTATTCTAATTAATTAAAACAGATTGTCAGTTTCTAAACACAAATGCAATACCCATATCTTTACCTTTTCTCATATTATTCCTTTTCCAGTCTAAACTACCCTATTTCTTCCTCTCCAAAACTATTATTTTTCAAGAAGACCCAACATAAAATTTACCTCTGTTGTTAAGACTTA